CTTTCTAACTCCTGTTATCTGTTATGACAACAAGACCCTTCCTATTTTCAAATGTACAGGCTCAAAGGTAGAGAAGAAGAAATCTTATTTCTCTCTAATTTGTTTCTAAACTGACTTATGCAAAATCTCATTTCTTTCTTTTCTGTAACACACTTTATTTTAAAACATTTCTTTATACTTTATATATGCACTAAAATCTCTTTCTGAAACCTCATCTTACACTGGTAACAGAGTATCTGTCATTCATATACAAGCATCAAGGCAAGTACTGTTCTAAATGCAAAGATTATCTTCTCATCTGATTTTCCTACACTTTCAACTATGAATAAAACTTTAAGCCCATTCCTAGTTCTCTTTTCTCTTACTCATCTCTTTTGCATTGCATCTTAAATCCCAAGCTAATTTTTTTTTGACTTTCAGTCTTGCATACAATTTCCTTTTATCTGTGCTGATCTTTTTCTATGTGAAACTTTCATGCCAGGAAAAAAAAAATGGCCTGAGATAAAATGGCTCTCTGTTTTTTATAAGTGTTTCCAAGACTTTTCATGCAATGTCTAATGAACAAAGAGGTATTGTGTATTTTTTATATTTTTATCATAAATAACATGAATAGGAAGATAAATGGGATGGTAGACAAATATATTAGGAAGCAAGCCTAGAGAAAAAGTGTCAAATCCACTTAAACTCTAAAGGGCCAACTAAGTTTCAGAAGATTTATTTGAAAATTCAGTGACAACACCATATGCTAGCTAGGAAACAAGATTTCAAAGAGGAAAAAGGCTTATAAGAACATCTTTCCCAAACTACATCATAGGTAATTTATAAAATTTATAATCTGAAAAAACATTAAAACTAAAATTAATTAAAAGTGATCACATGTTTAAACAAGATAATACTTCAACACTGCACAAGGATAGTTTTTCTAATAAAGAAATACATTGTCACTATCAGAATAGACAAGCATTAAAATTTGACAGGACTTGAAAAATATTATCAGTCATTTTATCTTTCACTTCAAATTAAGATAAACAGAATAAGTGTTCAAAAAACAAGTTAAGTGTTTAAAAGTAGATGTGGCACTTTGTGATATGATTTAGTGGTTATAGTGCTATTGAAGGTGGTACTTGATGACCTCAGAGTTCTTTTCCAACCTTAATGGTTTTATGATTCTAAGTGTTTTTCATATTAATAAAACAGAATGTTCTCAAGAGCAAATGAAGACTGTCATAGATTCTACTACAGCTCTACTGTCTGGGAGCTGCACAAGGAAGAAAGCAATGGAATGATCACCTGTAAATAAGCTGAACTAGCTAAGAATAATGTAAATGTTTAATTTACTTAGCTATAATCAAGTAAACAATCCTTACTGTACAACATACAAGAAAGCAACTTGGATCTCACATTGATTTAATAACAAAATGTTATTAAATTCCTTCTGTTGTGTTTGTGAATGGTCTGAGAATTTTTAAAAAATATTTGGAGGAAATAAGAATCTTCCCCTGTGATGACAAGCTCCTTCAATTTCCTCAAAATTACTTTGAAATTGCTCAGTACTAAAAACACATTTTCAAAGAACACTGTTCCTCTCCATTACACAGATGATGTGGTCAGAGAAAACTCACAACCAACAATTTTATTTCAGGATATAATCTGCCATTGCAGCCGACCCAATTTAGTAATAATCCTTCTATTGAAAGAGAGACCTCTGCCCTCCATGCAGCCATGGTTTCTACAGAGCAAGTTCCCTGCACCCACAAAAAAGCAGATCCTGCTGGATCACCTATATGGAGCCACAGAAACACTTTACAGTGGCAGAAGCAAGCACAGACTTGTCGTTTGGAAAAGTCAGCTAGAAGTGGGATGGAAAGACTGACCTTTTGGCAGCAACTATTAGATCAGTTTATCTGTACACTAAATTACACCTTCAGAGCTTAACCAGAAATTGATAGCCATACTCACATTAGTTTTCACAGAGGTAAGATTTACCTCTGTGAAAACTAATGTGAGTATGACTATCAATTTCAGTCAGTCAGGATTTCACTTCTATACACCAGAGGCATACAAATAAACAGTAACATAGACACCTAGGTGTCACCTGGGTTTAAATAATAGATTCATTATACTAAGAAGCAATATTGTCTCACTTTCAATTAAAAACTCATATACAAAAGCATATACATCCCTCAGCTATCAGGATAGTGGATTCCATGAATAGCAGTTTACCAATTTTCTAGACCATGGGAAGCAAGCATCAATATCTTCTCACACCAAAGGAGGTTCATGTAAAATATACTTTACAGACAGCTTGTTTTAGTGAAGGAACTTGGGATTTCCTGACAGACAGGAGATGTCAGTGGCTCCCTAAGGACTCATTACTCCATTGGGAAATAGCCTGCATAACTAACTAAGGCCCATACCACTTGAAAATTTAGGTTTCCACAGACCCTGTGATTTCAACTCCACCCATGGCTGGGAATGCAGAATGTCTATAGGCACTCATAACAGCTGGACCTACAAGATAAAGAATGTAGCCATGAAATAAAAGAGCTCCACTTCATATGCAGCCCTGATTCAGAGTTTCAGCTTTTATTTTGTTCAATAGTTGAAGAGCGCTACAGTATCATTTCTTCCCTGTGGTCCAAAGAGCAGCTAGAAGTTAGAAACATAATTTAATCATTTAATCAGAGTTTTTCTTTTTCAAATGGATGTTTAAATTATCTGACCACATAATAACAATTTGGATTTTTCAGGTATTAAATTAAATAATTAAGGATTAGTTTACTATACCCAAACTGGAAAGAAGCTGGAATGTATAAAGCGAATAAATGCATATTAATACCCTAAAAGATAGGAATTTGAGTTTATATGCTAATTTTGACTGAAAGATTGAAGAAGCAATTCCACACAACCCTGCATTCTCAAGACAACAGTGTGCACTTGGAAAACTTACTTAGTATAAATGCTACTTTTGAAATTTCAAGAAAGTCTAGAAACATTGGGAAAAAAAACTACTTTAACTGTATGACATAAAATCAACTTCAAGAATATTCTCACATATATAAAAGAAACAAAGTTTATCATATCTTAAAAAGTATAGAGGTGCTTAAGTTTTAGTGTTAATACTTAACAAGATTTAGGTATAGATAACTATATAAGTAAACCGAGAGTAAATAAACTTGAACATCAAGTTTTACTAAGAATTATATTGTAAGAAACTGAAAAATTCCTTCCAAATGTAACACTCCTCCTTCCCTCACTTCCGCATATGTATTATACCTTGTACTGCAGTGGAAACAATTTGCTTTAGAATGGGGCACAGTTAAGAGCAGTATATAAAATTGCCAAGATTTAAAGTTGAATCTGTTATATGCATACTCTGCAAATTAATTAGCATTGATTAATCTGGAAAACACAGTCAAAAAAGAAGAAGATCAAAAATGCATCTTATTGTGTTACAATAGTTACACAATTGTTCTATTACACAGCGCTATATGTGTCACATGAGCAATGGATTACTGGAATTTCAGGCACACACATGTTAAAAACAATCAGTAATAGCTTCAATTTTAGCTGATACTGAGTAACCTATTTCTGAATTTCTGGATTTCCACTGAATAGGGGTATATTTCAAAGATAAAAGTATGATGTATCATACAGGCACCTTTAGCAGCAAGAAAATGGCACTGGAGATAAATATTCAGAAGTAGCTTTTATACATATATATAGTGCTCAGGTTTGCTGCTAGATCATGGAATGCTTTTCTCTCATCATTAAAGCTTTTGAAATACACTCTAAAGGAAAGAAAGCTGATCTACTTATAGATCAACAGAAGGCATGTGAAAAAGGTTGCTAACAATACTTTTTTTGCATATAAGTGAGAGCAATTGGCATCCCATCTGGAAAACTACACTACTCTGAGATAGAAAACTCTTGCCACTGGCAAGGTTCATGGTATTAATTTGTAATGGTGGATTTAGGGAAATGTACTAAACTAATGGTCTTTTACTTGCATAATTATGTGTTTTCTACATAAAATGCCAGGCTTTTACCCTGTCAATACCAGCACTGAGTTAATGGAAAACAGGACAAGGTGGATGTACAAGTATGCCAGCACCCATGAATGTCAAGCTCAGGTTACAGATTTGCTTCTTGCATTAACAATGTATCACCTAATGCATAACCCTTCAGACTCTTAAATCTGTTATTTTAAATATTTTCATTGCAGTTTAGCTTTGATTATTAATCTAAAAGGCAAAAAGTTAAACTGCATCTTATCTTCTTTGCCACTTGATATGTTAAACAGCCTTCATACCTTAAATCCACTTTAATAAGGCATGCAATTATTAAAGCATTACAGAATGGCCCCAGAGCACAAAAGCTCCATTAAATTTGCTTACATCTAATTACGTCTGCCTGAGGCAGGTGAGAAATTGACTCTGATAAGATCTTTCTTTTACCTGTAGCCAAAAAAATAAAAAGGAAAAATAACTTGGAGTGATTTTCTATCTAATTGCTATCTACAAGTATTTATGGTATTCGCTCTTCCAATGAATAGCCCACAAAGCACTCTTTGTGCACTAACCAGTGCATTTTAAGTTTTTTAAAGACTGTAGAATACAAAAGACAAGCTTATCTTGCTGCAGGCATGACAGGTCATCAATGATGTCTATTTGGGAAACAGTTTTATCTATTATTTAAATAATGTATTTTCTTTAAAAAAACAATTCTAATGTGAAAAAAACATGTTACATATGCTTTGTGGACTTCATTTTTTTTCTTCATGCCAGTATAAGCAATGAACACATTGTATGTTATGGAAACATAACATAAATATACAAACATACTTTCCATGACCAGAAAACAATTATTTTAGAAACTTTTTCTTCCCCCAATTTAAAACCAAGTGTTTTGTAGTAGAAAACATGGTATTCAATTCCTATACATTTATAACCGACCTCCCAAAATTCAGGAAAATGCTAATAAATTACATTGCTTGTTACCTGTAAATGAATGAAGGCATGTGATATTTCTAATCATTCTAATCTTCCTCTTAGCCCTAGAAGATCCTACAGAACAATAGAGTGAGACCATCATAGTGACAGTGTAAAAACTAGTTAGAAACTATACCAGATAAAGAGGAAGAAATAAATAAATTTTAAAAAATATTTAATTTTTAATAATTAATTTAATCCATCCAGCCTAAAGGGATTATAATTTAAATCTTCATTACTAATGAAGAAGAAATTACTTTATTATATATAAAGCACACTCTGAGAAAAAGAGAGATTTGATGGGAAATTTGCCCAGGTAAACCAGACACTGGACTTCTAATGAAAGATTATGCAACACTATTTTCCAAATATACATCTTTAACTACTGATGCCACTTGTATTATACAAACCACTGTTTGTTACACAAGTTTATAGTCAACCCTAAAAGAAAAGGTTCTTTGGTCATATTTTATGCTTCAAAACTCATTTGTTACTCTGAAATAGAAAACTGCATAGGGGCCTGAAATGAATATATTGTATTATTAACATGTTTCTTATGTGCTCCTTTGGTTTTTAGAGCACATAATTCCATAAGTGTTCTTACAAAAATTAATTTGACTTTACCTTTACATTCAAGCAATAAACAGACAGGTTAACTTTCATATTGATTTGCTTCAAGTTTTATAACTTCATTTTATATAGCTGATAATGAAAAGAAATTGATTTTCTGGTATGCTAAACAACTAAATTTTAAATATGAAAAAAAGATTTAGAGGCAATGGTGAATTATTTCTGTTTGCTCTTATGGTTTATCAACTCCAAGTCTGCTGTTACACAAAATATTCTGGCCTCATAATTATATTTTGTTTGATATTAACTTGATGTATTTCTATTAAAACTTTCACGGTTGCTTTGTAATATTGTCTAGTCACAAGACTGTATCATCTATAAATGAAAATACTGTGAACTACTGAATTATACATGCAACTTTGCTACAAATCAAAACCAAACCAGAACAAAAAATATATGAGAGGAATTGAATGACTATGTTAGGAAGAACTGCTTTCCAGCTTTTCCACATCTCCATTAAGAATGAATTCCATCCTGTTAAATGAATTATTCGGACATCACAACTGGTATTGAGCAATTTTTTATAATTTTCTTGATATTAACATTTCGTATTTGAAAACATGCAACGAAAGTTCTGTTTTCCACTGTTATGTTGTGTGTTTTCCAAGGGAAATTTCAGTAGACAATATTGCTCAGAATATGAATACATACCAAAAGCTGCCACTTTTATGATTATGGCTTGAATGTTAGATGATATCATTTCTTTAAGCAGTATTTCCTGGTTCCAATGCCAGAGGTAAGCTAAAGGCTGAAGATTAAGCCTTCTGCACCTTAAAAAGAAAGAAAAAAAATGGATAAAGCCAAGTATAATACTTTTACACAATATTATTAATGCAAAATTAATTAAAATATCTTTCTTTTCCTATCCTGAAATAATTTTTCTTCTATAATTTAAATTACAACACTGTACTATTCATATATTTCATTATAAACGTTAAGTCTAATATATATTTAAAAAAAAAGAAATAAACTTGTTCTGACTAGGATTCATCTACATAAGATGCAACTTAACAGATCTGCACGGGACTTTAAGTAAAGCCATAACAAAATGTATTCGTAAACCTTTTGGGACACAAAGAAATTAGCACCTTAGGAAGTCATCACTTTTGTGCACACAGCTAAGGACAAAGTTACTGCTCTGTGATAAATGTGGCACATGTCACTAGTACAATATGCTGAATTTGTTGCTGTTATTTGGATCAACAACCAAGGAAAATAATAATTCAGGAAAATATGTACAGCTTGTGATACAAATTAACAGCTTGTTACTGTAAAGTTAATAATTTGTTTTGATACATATCATATACAGACAGCATTTGATACACAGCATTTGATTGTTTATCAAATTAGAGAATCACTAATTTGCATTATTGATAGGTAATGTTTCTGTAAATTGTCAAGAACCATCGGTCGGTGATTAAATGTGTAAGGCCTCTGAGAAACTTAAACATTAACTATGGGACTAGTTCACAGCCCTTAAGATTTATATTTATTTGTCAATTACCATGTTTTTCCTAATACATGGTCTTTCTCACATATATGGGCATTCCTCCCTATATCATATAGACCCACTAGTATGATTGTGAAGACTATATAGTTAAATGTAAGTTTAATGTTGACATGTAAATGGATAGTTATCACCCATACAATCTGACTTTCTTATTACTTTGATGTGCTTTAACAAAGCACTAAGTTTTGTAATAGAACTATTTAGCAGCTCTGATTGTAAAGTAGTTACTTTGGTGCCTAACTTCAACTAAAAAATTACCTGAATTAATTGGGATGGCTTATATGAAACAACATTATTGTAAGGGCTAAATCTACAGATCAATGTAAAGTGTTTTACTTTACAAGCTCAGAAATAATCTTGCCTGTTTGAAATACTGTGATTTCCTGTCAATCTCTTAGCTGTGGTAAAGACGTAAAACTCACAATCAACAAAAGCAATCTTTTTTTATCCTACTAACATGTGAGGCACTTATTAAAATGTTGAAGTATAAAGGAAAAGAAAAAGGAGATATTTCTGACTGCAATTTATCTATGTAAACTGTAAAGGAAACAAATGTGCTCTGTAACTTGCTGACGTGAGCTGAGTTGGCATAGCATTAATTTCACCGTTCTTACAGCTCATAAAGGATTCCAGATACTTGCTTTCATCATCAACAAATCATTAATGAACTCATGAAACTATAATTAGTTTTTAACATAAGGTGGTTTTGCATTTCATCAGATGCATACAGTAAAAATCTTTTTTCAGATCAAATACTGGCCTACATAACAGACACAACTACCACTACATAATGCTCTTTTTTAATTAAGACTCTTAAAATAATCAAAATCTATATAGTCTTTTGTGCACAACAGGAATGACAATTGGAAGCTCCTGATTAATAATGACAAATTTTAGATTTAAGGAATTAAGGGAAGATGTGCACAGAAAGATTTCCTTCTAATTCCTGATAACAAGTCACAGGATGCTCCTCTATATCAAAACACTGATGAAAATCAGAGGGACTTGACCACAACACTGCAGTCATTGGAACTGAGTGAACTTCCTGTTGAAATCAAAGAACTGACCCTACTCAACTATTTTCATACCAAATCTATTTTCAACAGATGGAGATCTGAACAGCAATCAAAAACCCTGGTATAGTCTCTCCTAGACTTTTACTAATGAACACATGGTTTCAGGGGGGAAAAAGGAAGAAAAATAAAATAAAAAAATACCTATATTAATAAATAGAATGCATTTGGTATCATAGAACATGAGAAATCAGGCAACTGTCTCTGCTTTAAATTAGAGTTAGAAAACAGACCAGTACTCTAGAGAATGTGTAGTTTGAAAAATATTAGTATTTTCTTACACATCTTCCACTCGAACTCTCTGGTAGTCAGAAAGAATGGCTCCTACAGATACACCCTCTACTCCTTCTTTGTCCTGAAAAAAGACATGGAATATCAATGACACAGTACATAATGTTTTAAGCTGTAGAGATTCAATATCTCTACTTGCAAAATCAACCAAGAATAATTATTTTTTCTGTGTCCAGTACATGGAACAGAATAGGCTGGAATGCAGTTCCTCCACAGAAGGTAGCAGCTCAGCTGACCTACTACATGGTTATTACTCTAATGCGGTCTACTTGATTCAAGTACCATTTTAGAGGACAAATAACCAAAGTAACTGAAAAGTATCAGACGTAACAGATTATCCTGAGGTTTTCCAGACATCCTGAAAATTCCTTCCAGCTTTTTCCTATAAGTGACATGTTAGCTAGTCCACCTACAAATAAATATCAGCAACATGCATCATACAATTAACTGAATAGTTAGCATTTTCAATGGTACACAGCACAAGAGAGTGTGAGATTACACTTTTTATCTTAACACCAGAACAAGAAAACTCACAGGAAACTTACTCAACATCACCTTTTAAAAATCCTGCTATAAAAAATGGTTTTCCAAGACACATTTTCTGTTTCATTTAAATTAACTAAGCCAATGAATGGCACTTTATTTTTTTTTGTAAACCCACTGACAATGTAACATTTCAAAATGCACTCCATTTCTCCAGTATTTTGTGAGATTTTTCATTTTTAAATTGCTTGAGTCCCAATCAACATGCTGAACTTCCTTTTTCTAAATTTTGCTCCATCTAGACTTCAGTAAAATTGTTTTCCTCTTTTAATCGAGGTCGATCACAACTACACACCATGATTTAGTTTCTGGACCTGTTTCAAATCTTGTGAAGTTTGCAGCAAGATTTTACAACAAAATTTTCAGTTATATACCTGTGATGATGCATCCTGCCCCTGCCTGTCTCTTTTGGCCTACTCTATGATCTCAGAAGTCCTGCTAAGCCTTGGCCAAGCAAGCTGAGCAGCAAAATGCCCCTTGACTGCATCAGCTGGACGGTGAAGCATTGCTGACTGTACCAGGAGTTTTTGTCTGGTAAAAGTCAAAACAATTCTGACTGCAGAATGCGGCATCAGCTGCCCAACCAAGATGGGCAACAAAGGATAAGCAGCTATCCTTGGCAATCTGGGTAAATAATTTTCCTGATTCACAGCCCAAGTGAAATGGCAGCACTGTTACAAATTTCAAAATCAAATCAGTCTTTGCCTGATGTGCTGCTGAATTCAAAATTCAGTTCCTGTTTCTCATCAATAAAATTATGCAGGAGGTGTTTTATTCAAAATTATAATACAGTGAAAAATGTTCTGGTTTATGCCTGTCTGGGATATTCTTCCCTTAATCTATTATCTTACGCTTTACATTAATTCTCACTTCATATTTGCACAACAAAATTTTTAAGTTATTCATACACAATATATATTTCAGCTGTAAGAAACTGTATTTGTCAAAATTCCTACATACAGTAATCTAAAAACCACATCACTATTTAAATTATGTACTTCCCCATGTCATTAATGCATAGATCCATTAATATGGAGCTTAATGCCAAATCAAACAGTGTTCAGGTTGATGGTTCTCACATATCCAGAAGTAGTAGGAGTGAAAAAAATTAGTTTTATCTTTCATTTATTCATTATCTAATGATGGATCCAATAATTATTATCATTATTATCATTACCATTATCCATATGATAATATTTCTGCTTCTCTGAGCTTTCTCTGCAATATTTCAAAGCTCTTTTGGTAAATTCTTCAATTTACTCAACTCACCCATCTACAATAACATTTCTTAAAAAGTTAACACAGTTCCGCAAGGAGAATTTTCTTTAAATAAAATTGATCAACTGATTCATGAAGCCTTCTTGAATCTTCAAATATTTCTAAAATGGATTCTCTGCACTCCTTTATTTCATGCTATTTTGATATGCAGTCTACCTGTATACTGCTAAAACTGAACTTCAGTTGCATTGTTCAATGTTCTTTTTAAAAAGGTTAGAAAGCTGCATGACAGTCTTGGAAAACATGACTGATGTTAAGAAGATAAATACTGTTTTTTATTTTAATGCAAAAATAATAACCTTAGCAATTCCTTCAGAATGTCCTCTGTCACAATGTGCAGACAATATGTCCATAATATCAAACAATACGTCTAAAAATATTAGAGTTACTATATCACAAAAAAAAAATGGCACCCTCATATTAAACAAATATGGAGTGAAATCTTATTTCCCAATGACAGATTTACAGAATCTCCTGTTCATCCATGAAGATGGCAACTGACTTGCGCAAGACACTTTTAACAAGCTCACAGAGCCATAAACATATTTTTTATTCATTCTGTTTTTCAAGTTGGCAAAATATATGCATCAGCAAAGATACTTGCTATGAAAACTTCCTCAAATTAAAAATAGAAGTAAATGGGAGTAGAGACTTAAATGTTATGTTCTTATACAAACAAAAAAATTCAATACTAAAATGATCTGTTGCACAAACTTACTTGTTTGGGATTTAAAAAATTCTAGTCGTAAGACCCAGGAAATTTCATAACCATCCTATGATAATGGAATTTTAAAATCCACAGAAGGTCACAGAATGTATACTAAATGACTATTGAAACAATGGCCCAAACTTGAAACTAATGCATCAAGAAGATTTCTCATAGGTTTTGAGGTTGTTTGGGTGCTTTTTACTAAACAAATCTATAACACATCTGATGTGCATGATTATGAATGCACATATATATAAGTACACAAGCAAACACAAATATGTACACATGTATGCAATGTATCTTGGTGTTACTAATGCAAAACCAAGGCTATTATTGGCTGCTTGCTTACAACTTAAGTTAAATTTGATTTAAATAATAACAGAGAAGAGTGTCTGCACTTATTCTAGTTTGTTTCCTTTGCTAATACTTAAGTTTAAATTGTCTTTTGAAATGGCAGTACATCATGTCATTTTGCAGTTGTGGTTAACATTTATGTTTAAAAAATTCTCACAGGTATTTATTTATCGCCATCTCTTTTCTCAGTTCTTCTCATGGTAAACTGCAAATATAAACTTTCATCACTGTCTAGACAATAGCTTCCATGAGGAGAAACACCAGTATACTTAATATTTGCTTTGAAGTGGGAGAACGAACTAGTTAGTGAATGGGAGAACTAGTGAAATGGAATTAATTCAATCTCCCTATTTTGTCCAGTACAACAAATTAAGGCTGGAATGGCACAAATTCAAGAAATAAGATTTGAAAGGAAGAAGGATGAAGCATGAGGTAGAACAGAAAAAAAAAAGCTATGGTCTAATAGCCTTCATAAACTCCTCAGCTGGACAAAGTACACATAAAGCCTTGTCCCACGGTATATCCAGCTCAGTAGCTGAAGCATGGAAGGAACTACTAACTAATTCTAAAAAGCTAATTCTTCCCTGGACTTATTCTTTGGTATTGAAAGAGTTATTGGACACCTAGCAAACAGACAGCATTTTGTTTGACTAAGAGTTGATCATGGTTAGCAGACAATCCATCCCAGAATCAATAGTGCTGTCACTTTTAATGTGGAATCTGATCAGGTTTGGTACCATTAAAAGTGTGTTCGCAAAACTGCACTCAGCAAGGGTAAACCAAGCTGACATCTGCAGGTAAATATCAGGGATCAGCACTGAACTCAAAAGCTGATGAAGTGTATTTGGGAAAATTCAGAAGGAAAGATGTTACATACTGTATCATATAAAAAGCAACAGATAACAGAAAAAAACATCTTAGGATCTTAAGTTAATATGAAAAAGTGTTTTTTTCTTGGGTCAAGTGGATTTTTAAATTATTGTTTTTAAAAGCATCATATGTTGCTAATTTAAGAGATGATTTACCTATGTTAAACTTTACTAATATGCTTCTAGTGCAATAGGCTACTCTAAAATAAAAATAAACTTCTTCTCTGGAATATTTGAATAATTCAGAAAGCTCTTATACTCAGTACAATATCCTCTGTCACAAAATATTACAACACAAAGTATGCAATGTGCACATAAAACCAGATGCTAAACACAAATGTACACAGATGCTAATGAAATTTTATTTTCCATATGACACTTTAGAACTTATTTTTCCCCTTTAGAGCTACCAAAAGTACTCATTTGAAAAGGCAGGTCGAAAAATAAACTTTCAAAAAGCAACTTAATAAGACAATTTTAGTAGCTTTTTTTAACGTACCGAAGATTATTATTAGCTATGTTTTAACAGTAAGTGAAATTGCACCATTCTTCTATACCTTGTTATAACAGTTAATTTATTCTTGTTCAGAGGACAAGACAATAATTTTCATAAACAATTGTGTTAGAGCAGCTAATTGATCTTTGCAACTGTAGCGGTACTAAAATGCACAATTTGTGTTTAAAGTATCCTAGTTTTAAAGTTATTTATTATTTTAAACAGTATAATGAACAACAAAATTCAAAATTGCTGCTCTTTGTGTATTATAAATTACTGTTGGCTACATTTCCTATCAGGAAATAATATAAAAAAAAAAATAACAGTTTTGTGAAAGCTCCAAAATATCACTGCTGTTTTTAAGGTGCCTCTGATGCCTCTGTTATTTCTAAGTACACTTCTAACACACAGCTTCACAGCTAAAGTAAAAGATAAACAGATTTACACTAGCACACTGTTATTTTCATTTTGCTTTTTTTTTTTTTCAATTAATGATTGTAACAGTAATCAGAGGAAATTACTACATATGCATTGTAGCATATAGTACTGGTAGAAGCATTCTACTAGTAAGTAAAAAATTTATTGCAGTGGTATCAGTACAGAGGTTTTCTATAATTTCATATTTTAATGTCTTTGCCTGACCCTTTCAGAGTTCAGAAAAGAGAAAATTAGTGCTAATGTTTTCAATTTAATTAGTATATTACATGCACTGTAACTATTAGTGCAAAATGTTATATTAATGAATGTAAAAGTTAGCTGTAAATTACCTCAGAGTTATTATCAATTTCCCAAGTTACTGCTCCTTAAGATAACCC